ATAATGACTTGGCAAACATTTATTTTCATGCACAACACTTTGTGTTTGCTATGAAAGAAAAACATATCAAATGCTTGTCGTAATCATAACTCTAAAATGCGATATGTTCAGTCAAATGAGATGTGTACTTTTGGTTTCACTTCACTGCTGAGTTTGGTTCATGTCATGGCTGCCGTCACTTTGAGAAAAAAAAAAAACATGCATGCAAATCATACTTCCCGCATGGCTCTCAAACGATCGCTCTCTGCAACAAACTGAACGTTATTTACAACTTTATTACCTGTTATTCACATCCTATGCAGTTTCTGTTTACTAAAGTATACATCATTCATGGACACGTGCATCCTCTCAGTAGTCTCCACTCACTTGTCATTTTATGGGTGCAATTACATCAAGTTAAGACCTACATTTTTTACATCTTTGAGGTAATTTTAGTTTATAAATACAGTATGTAACTCTTTCAACACTATTTGGAGGTGTCCATGTTGCTGTGCAACACATATAAAACAGTGTGAAGACTTGTGCAACCTCTTTTACACTTCTCCTGTACTTGAAAATAGAGTGTTTAACACATGGCCCTACATGTATTTTTTTTTTTTTTTTGGCCAAGATAAAGAGATTTTGGTGCAGCTGTATGAGTACTTTTGTGGTTAAAAGCCTTGATTTATGATTGTCCCAAGTATTAAATAAATTTTATCTCAATATAGGTCTGGATCAACACATCTGATATAATCCTTGTTGGTCTTAGAGATTACCAGGTAGGTTATTATATTAAATTTTTAATAATAATAATAATAATAATTTTATTTTTTAACAAATATTTATTTTTACAAATGAATTAATGTTTGTTTGTTTTCAAATATTTAATTGCTATTTTGCAGGATGTCAAAGCAGATGTCATTTTAAAGTACAATGCAGACGAAGCCCGCAGTCTTAAAGCCTACGGAGAGCTCCCAGAACACGGTGAGTGTTCTTAATTAGAATGTCATTGTACCAAAACACTCACAATTGTAAGTGTCAGCATTGGCGTAGCACACACACATCTTCTGTTCTCTAGGATGACAGTGTAAATACATAGCTCGTGGCTGATTTCTTTGTGCATTTCCTGCAGCTAAAATCAACGAAACAGACACATTTGGACCTGGAGATGATGATGAGATCCTGTTTGATGATATTGGAGAGAACGATGACGACATTGATGACGTAAGTTCAGAATTGTTTTTATCCAGCCTGATCTCACGGGAAAGCTTAAGTATTTTACGTTTTGCCAGTTTAGTGGCGAATTCGTGCATTTTCGTACGACTGAACTCGTACGATTTTAAAAAGGAGCCGTGGCACCTAACCCCACCCCTAAACCCAACTGTCATTGGGGGATGAGCAAATCCTACTAAATTGTACTAATTAGATCTTACGAATTCATACGAATTAGCCAATAAATCAAAGTGACGAATGGCCCTGTGATTGTGTTGTTTTTATCATGAAAGATGCAGCATTAAATATTGTTGATGTTTACTTTGACAATTATCCAACTTTGTGTTTCTTTTTTATAGATATTTTGCATATAATATAATCTATATTTCTGCTTTTTAAATGTTATTTGATGATAATGTTTTAAATACCCATATACCCAATACCCATGTCTGTAAATGCTGTTCAAAGAGTCCAAAAATGCTAATCATGTTTTCCACAAAAATTATCGTGTGGCACTGAAGACTAGACCAATGTATCCTAAAAATATTTAAATAATTAAATATTAGTATTCATTTCACAATATTGCTGTTATGTTTTAATAAAATTAAAGTTTTTTTTGGTTTACCAAAACACGCATGCAAAAAAAATAAAAATAAATTATTTATATATATATATATATATATATATATATATATATATATATATATATATATATATATATATATATATATATATATATTATTACCAAAAAACGTTCGCACTGTCTTATTATATTATGTTTTATCTTGGATCTATTAAGTATAAAACTGTAATTAAGCGGTGTCTGACTGCTGTAGAGGTTTCCTTGGGCTGTTTATCTGCACATAACTGTAACCGATCTCTCTCAAACATTGCGGAAACAACATGCTAAAGTGTTTAAGTAAACCTATACTTGATGTGTTTGTTTCTGCCCTCCCCTACAGATCTAACTCAGGACAGCTGGTGGGTTATATTGTTTACACTGAGAGGAAAAACACATCCTTGTTTGGGGAAAAAAACTGCAACTCTGGCATAACCGATGCCTCGCATCATACTGCAGGCTCCTTTAGAAGAACACTTCAAAGGCTTTTTGCTTTTCATTTCTTCCCTGCGTAATCTGACGAACACAAGTCTTCCATTTACTGACAGCCACTCAAAATAGACTGCATATTTTGTTTTGTTATCTTTTTAAAGTATTTATATTATATTCCATTGTATGAGGTGAGATTTAAAATACAGAAATCCAGAATTTACAGAAAAGTCAAACCATTTATGTGTTTGTGCTGAACTTTATTTCTTGTATATTTGCTTTTTTCTTAATTATATTTTAGGTAGTTAATGGTCTTCTTCCTCATGGGATATACAATAATTTCTGATGAGTATGAAATAAAAAAGATATATATTTCTATGTTTTGTTGTTTGTTTTTGTATGCGAATGTAGCAGTAACATAATTTGTCCACTAGTGGGCAGAAAGCGGGTTCAATTTCTGTGTCGCCTACTACAACCATTGACTACAACACGTAGATGTGTCTGTCCGTCATGTTTATGGATTTATTAAAAATACCTTTAGTCCTGAAAAATAGGGGTTATATTAGGTTCCCAAACTTGTTGTAAAAATTGGTTAGTGTTGTTTGTGCTGCTGTACTCCCTCTCTGCACTTTGTGAGTGGAGTCTGTCGACCCATTTGATTTGGACTCATTACTGTCCTCAGTCTTGCTGGCCCTCTGGCTCTATTGGACTGCCACGTTTCATCCGGATCACATGGACCGTTCGTCCATCTCCACAGAGCTAGCTTTGTGCACTCGGAGAGCGAGCATTAACATCAGACTCCTATATTTACTGTGGGCTGACTCTGTCTGTGATTCAGTGTTTGGCTCATTCGTTGGTCATATAACACTTCCCTTTGACTTTTTTGTTCATTTTAACTTTAAACTTTAAATTTTTTTCATTTAAATTGGTTTAAAGTTTGAACACAAATGTATGTCACGTTTAATTGGCAGCAGAAGTCGAAATCTGTAGGTTTACATAGTCTTGCTGAATATGCAAAGTCTTGTAATTTGTGGGAAAATAAAAGGACCTGTTACTCTATACAATAAGCGTTACTCTAGTATACAATACAGTACAGTGCTCCGCATAAATAAGAACACCCCTCTTTGAATATGAATGTTTTTATCCATTTCACAGTCATTGTAGACAATTATTGGTACTCTTAAACAACAAAATTTATTGAAAATTTAAAGTTAAATACATAAAAAAAGGAGAACGGTCTCGTAACATCTTAAGAAATGGAAAGATAAATATGTAAAGATGAGTTATTGCAAAAAACAAACTACAAAATCTCTTAGGGGGATTTACATTTATTATTTGTTAAATTTGTTTACATATTTTAAAATATATTAAATATTTACCCCCAACATATTAATTTGAGTTTAGGTCTACTATTCATTTTGGTTACTGTTATCTCGAGTTTTTATTTGTTAGATTTGTTTCAGTTTTGGCACAAATAAATTGGTGTAAAGCATAGAAAGTGTAAATTCATATTTTATCAATATATATTTTTATTTGGAATAAACAGTAGTTACTACAACAATAAACACCTAAAATCCAGTCAAGATATAGTTAAATTTAAGAAGAATTAAAAAAAATATTTACACAAAGAAAAATGAACTTAAAAAAAAAATTAAATTAAAGCAGGTATTAAGCTGTGTAAATATAATAAAGATTACACAAATTAATACATTTTTTTATTGCAACAAAAATTGTTATTTAAGACATACATTTGAACTTCTTTTTTAAGAACTAAAATAAAAGAATTGTATATGTGACCTATTATGGATAAAAAATGTACATAAAACTTAAATGAACAATAAAATACTCTTTCCTTTTTTGAGATAATAATAATAAAATCTAATAAAATATGTTTTAAACTATAAAAATTAGGATCAATGTTATCGATCACAAATCTACTCAATTCTTTATTTAAATGAAGTGTGCAAGGTCCCATTTTACAAAAAGAGCAGTTTAAATCAATATATGCTTATATTTTCATTTAACAAGAAAATTTTTAACTCAGTAGGAGCCTATCATCTGAACAATTTGAATATCACTTCCTTCACTTCGTTTACCAATAGGTATTTTAATAGCAAGGTCCAAATAACCTTTAATAATAAACAAAACTATTCTATTCCAATAAATTAGACCAAGCAGAGGTGCCTTTTCAGAATAAAGAATAAATAAGTTTTAAAACATTTATTTTGCAAGTTTTCCAATGTTAGTATCAAAGAGATTGAATGTTGAAGGCGTAGCCTAATAATGTTTTGGGCATTAGCTCTAAACAATGCCAGTGAGGGATTTGCATCCATGACAAACGATACAAAAATAGTTTGGTGTCTGAGGAAAATGCTATGAACGGCTAGTTTTTTTTATTATAGGCATTGAAACGTTACACAAAGTATTAATACAAATTAAGACACAAACTATATCCAAGACCATTACTAAAAACGCATTCATAGATAATAATAAAACAAAAACATACCAAGTGAAAATAAACCAAATAAAGTATAGCATATAGTGCTAAAAATAAATAAATCATTATTTTTGTTATTAATTTGCATTAGAGACTTTTTCAAAGTTTCCATTTTTTTTATAAATATATGTTGCATTCTGTTCTACTCTTACCAAACTTTTGTTTATGAATAAAATATTTACATTGTAAGATGTAAAAATTATCAAACTCCAATGTTTTTTTTTTGGTAAAAAAACAGCAGATGACATCTTCCAAAAGAAATCCTGTAATTAACATTTCTTTGCACAAATAACACATCACTACTAACATCATAGCAACATTTTAGAGAGACATCACAGTTATAGATAAGTCTTCCTCGTGTATATTACAAAACGTGACAAAAGTATTGTCAGCATCCATGAATTTAGATAAAGCTGCTTTGCAAGGGAACCTATTTTAGAATGCACTTCTTTGACCTTATTTAAAAGGCAAATTTTAAAGGGGATTGACAAGTTAATTTAATATCAATAATGCTTGCAATTCAATAAGATTGTCCTCTATGGGGTATTCCGTGTTTAGATTGCCGCGTTTGTCTCTTGTTTTTATTATTACCATGAACAGAGAAATCTCTGCTGTCGATGACGTCACTCAGTGTTTCAGCACTACTGCGCTGTCCAGCCTCTCACACCAGACTCCTCAACCGCCACTGCGTTTAGCACATTCTCTCTACCGGACGACTGGTAAAGAACACCCCTACCACCGGGCGAGACTAACTTGACGTTACTTTCCTCTCATAATCGATTCAACTCCTCAAACCTAGCAATCTGCGATAGCGGCAGAGAGCGCGTTGTGCTGAAGCTGTGGAAAGCGGATCGGGTCCCAGCAGCGCAGCGGCAGTCCAGGAGGAGCTGGCTATGCTGTTTCTCTTGGCTTGAATTTTTTTGGGGGTAGCGGTTTCGCTGCGGCTCTCTCTGTGACATTGCGGTTGGAAGAGCTGGAGGTTTCGGTTCGAAGATGGCGGAGAACCCCGTCAACACTTCAACGACAGGTGAGCGCAAAGGTAACAATAATTCAGTAAACGTACCTGCGATGCTTTGTTAGCATGAGTGTGTTGGGTGGGAGGAACAATGACTTGCCTACATGCTCGTGTGTTTATATGCTTAGGTCGCACACTAGCTTAAAGCGGGACGATGGAGAACAATGATTGACGCTCCCAGATGAGATGCTTTCATTCTGAGGAGCTTCACACTTAATCCCGCAGACACAGCAGTTCAACCCGTCATTTATTGTGCGTTTACATCGCAACGGGCCTTGCTGCATCTCAGTCGCGCTCTCATTTATTGCCTTTCACTTTTTCAAGTTGTGCTCGTCTGCTGCAACTGCGTGCTGTTTAGTGTTTGCTTGTTTATCCTCGTCAGATTGAGCGAGCCCATTATTTCTTGTTCTGCGTTGTGTTTTTGTGGAGGTTCTCGAAAGTTGACGGGTCGAACACCGCCCAACACTGTGAAGTCAAAACTCTGATGAGATTAGAGCCGTTAAGACTAAACCACGTCCATTTGCCAAATTAATTTAATGGGAAATCGATGGAGAGCTACATCCGGCTCAGGAGCTCCTTTGAGTTAGTGTGTTTGTGTGTGAGTGTGTGTGATATATAAGCAGCATCCGCAGAACTGTCTCTGTCCTGCTGCCTCTACAGGCTACTGTGCTGGAACCAAACCTAAATACTGCACTCAGTGACATTTTGAGGAACACTTGTGAATTGTTTTAGTAGTGGATTAATTGTATGGAGGTGGTGCGGTCGCACAGTGGGTAGCTGTCTCCTCAGAGCAAGAAGGTTGCTGGTTCGAGCTTCAGCTGTATCAGCTGGCATTTCTGTGCGGAGTTTGCATGTTCTCCCTATGTTTGCATGCTCCGGTTTCCCACACAAGTCCAAAGACATACAGGTTAATTGAGTTAGCTAAATTATCCATAGTGTATGTGAGTAAATGAGAGTGTGTTGGTGATTCCCAGTGATGGGTTGCAGGTGGAGGGGATCTGCTGTGTAAAACATATGCTGGATAAGTTGGCGGTTCATTCCCTGATTAATAAATCAGTCCCTGATTAATAAAGGGACTAAGCTGAAAATAAAATGAATGAATGGGTGTATTGGAAAAAAATCGGAAAGATAATCCAGATTGTTATTAGCTGCTAAGTATTTTTCATTGACAACATGTCAGTGCCTACAGGGACATTCTACCAGAAACAAACATTTTTACTTATAAAAATGTGACAGGGCTTGACCTTTAAGCTTGCCCTCCTCAAAAAACGCACAAAAACAAGCATAAAATCATACAATTCATCACCTATTTTGAGCTTCAAAGTTTTTGCATTCCATAGCAAACAGTATTTGAGTAACGTTTATTTTTTTTAAATACAAAGTCTTAAAATGTAAACAACTTATAAAAAACATGCCATAATGTAAATAAGTTGTCAATTAATACGAATATGTCAATAACTCAATAACAAAAATGTCAGATAAAACCTTACAGTACTAAGATGACAAATTCAATGAGAGAAAGCATCCTCAATCACTGTAACCTTCTCCATCAAATGATGTCACTTCCTTTGAGTCATAGCCTAAAAGGTGTGTTGCATGTATTTCATGTTAAATTTAATACAAACGTGACAGGACTGACCGAAACATGGAGACAATAATAAGTTTATCTGTATTATATTTTTGTAGTTTTCCCAGAGATGGGTTGCGGCTGGAAGGGCATCCGCTGCATATAAAACATGCTGGATAAGTTGGCGGTTCATTCCGCTGTGGTGACCTCAGATTAATAAAGGGACTAAGCCGAAAAGAAAATGAATGAATGAATAAATTTGCAGTTGGCGGTTTATTCCGCTGTGGTGAACCCAGATTAATAAAAAGACTAAACTGAAAATGAATGAATGAATATATTTATAGTATTTATTTGTAGAATCTATTTATAGTTTCATGTTGTTACGTTTGTCTGCAAAATGTTCTTTTGGGTTACGTTTTAGTTTGAAACATTTCAATTCCAGACGAGCCCCCAATTATGTTACGTCCTTTTAGATGTTAATATTAAACTAATTGTATCTTGACATAACATATAATAGTTTAGTGTGTGTGTGTGTGTGTGTGTGTGTGTGTGTATGTGTGTGTGTGTGTGTGTGTGTGTGTGTGTGTGTGACTAATGGATGGAGAAAGAATAACCGAAAACCAGATATCAGTGCAATTGATTATTTATTGCGCAGACTTCCAGTGAAAACCAGTGAAAATATGTTGTACTGTGAAAGAAAATTATTTGCAATAAATAATTGATCATTTACCTGTTAGAGGAGGTAGTTAGGTGCTTAAATTAAAGAAATAAATATAACAAAGCAACTGTATAAAAATAAATATCAAAGGAAAAGCATGAAAAGAAACCTCTATCAAACGTCTTACCTAAACTACTAAAACACAAAAGACACACAAAACAGCACACTCTCCTGAACTTAATGAAATAATACAGAAAATGATTCTGAGTGTTTTTATATGTATATCGCACGACTTGCTCACTTCTACACCCTCTCCAAGGAGTTACTCAAAAAGTTATCAGTTAACTGGACGAGTTAACAAACAAACCCATTGACATTGCAATCTCAAAAGAGTTTAGACAAGAGCATCAATCACAAACCAAACCAAGACACATTCTCTCAGACTAGAGGGATGATGTGAAATGATTTGAAAGATAACCACTTCAACTTTGCTATTTCTGAGGTACTTTCTTTTTTCTAAATAAAAGCTTAACAAAACTATTAAAGCAGTAGGTTCAACTGGGCTGAGGACAAGGACAATGACAGGGATTGTACATTTGTAAAGTGTTTATAATAAAGAACAAAAATCTAAGAACCTAATGAATGACATACTCCTTTACAGAACAACTCACAGAAATCAACCATCAGTCCATTTTAGAAAGTTATGTAATGAAATACTTTTTATTCGCTGTATTTCTGTTTTTATTTCAGGCACAGATGATGTACGATTCTGCTAGAATGTCCCCTACATCTTTATATAATTTTGCTTTATTTGTGATCTCATTTATGTTGATGGTCAAAAGGGAAATCTGTAGTTTTCATGCTTTAGTTTATCTGCTCATTTTCTACAGGGAAATAGATTTAACTCCCTTCAAAGGATAAACAATAACAGGTGTAGCAGGTCTGTGGTTGGTAATCGATTGCACCCTTTTGCTGAATTAATCTTTTTGTTGTAATTGAGTTGTATTAAAACAATTGTTTAACAGCAGATTTCTAATAAAATAAAATATTTTCAGACTATTATTTCTATAAAGAAGTGATAATATACAATTCTATACAAATATATTGTCATGGGTGGCATGGTGAATCAGTGTTTAGCACTGTCGCCTCATAGTAAGAAGTTCACTGGTTTGAGTCCCGGCTGGGCCAGTTGGCATTTCCCTGTGGTGTTTGAATGTTCTCCATGTGTTTGCATGGGTTTCCTTCGGGTCCTCTGGTTTCTATAGGTGAATTGAATAGGCTAATTTGATTGTTGTGTGTGTGTGTGTGTGCATGTGAGAGTGTTTGGCTGATTAATAAAAGTCGAAAAGAAAATGAATGAATGAAATAATTGTTTTTTATTTTTTAGGGGATTTTCACCTTTAAATTGGAGAGGATAGTGGAGTTCACAGACAGAAAAGTATTGGTCGTATTGGGAGTATTTCGTCTTTCATTTAAAAAGGATAGTGGAGGTTACAGACAGGAAAGTAGAGCAGAAAAAGGGAAAGGGTTGGCAAAGGACCTTGAGCTGGGAATCGAATTGAGCACTATGGTGCTATATGTTGGCACACTTAACTACTAGGCTATTGGTGCCAACTAAATAGCATATTTTTAGTAGAATAGAATGTTGTTAGACTATTTCTATAAAGGAGTGATAATATACAATTCAATACAAAAATATTGTCATTTAGAGCCCACAAAAAAGACAATTAATTACAATATCAAATGTTTTTATTTGATGTGTTTAAAAGTTACGGTTAATACATTGGTTTCTTTCTTTTCTGAGTAAAAAAACACTAAACAAGAAAACAATAAAAAATATATATACATATATATAAAAATAAATATAAACATTGCAGCTTTTTGTTATTTTATGTAAAACGTACGCTTGATAAGTTGGCGGTTCCACTGTGGCGACCCTTGATTAATAAACGCACTAATCCAAAACGAAAATGAATGAATGCTTAATTGTAAGTATTTCCTTTATCAAAGCTATTTAGCACACATTTTTGTACTTTGCTTTAGAGTAAAGTTATTACAATTCTCTTTGTTGATTGGATTGGTTACTAGCTTAAACATTTTAACAACAGCCTGTTTTAAATCCTTATGGGAAAAATTAATGGAACACTTTCTGTGCTGCTGAAAAAAGGGGACAAACCCAAACTGCACTCTATTCACCCATAGGCAGACAATGCTTTATCATAGATATGGATAGATTATCCACTGGGCCAGTGCGCCAGGTTATTGAGACTTGACTGAAGAGAACCTGGCACCCAAAAATAAGGCTACGCAAATGTATACTGATTAAACTGGTTTTATGTTGAGCAGTTATCAGTTTGAGTTTTATCAGACACTTGACTATTTAAAATTGCTGTAGGCTCTGTGGAATAAAGCTTATTTTTAATGTATCTGTATTTGAATTGTATTGCTGATTTATTGTTCACTGAGTTGAGAAACTATAGAGATAGAGGAGCAGAGAGCAAAAGGAAAGAGAGCAGACAGAGGACACCATCATGAGTGAGCAGTTTATTTAAAGGACACGTCATGGAGAGGAAGGAAATAGGTCGGAAACTGAACGTAACAAAACTAAAACAAAATCTGACACAAGGCATTTTTCATTGCTTTGTCAGTTAGAAAATAAATGAGAAAATTTAAGAGGCCTCGTGGTATTGAATAGTTTATTGTCAGCGCCGACTGTACCCTTCCAGTCACGAAATGCAATTCTGCTCAGTGCTAAACTGTCTGATATATTGATCACGAGTGGATTGTTTATTTCAGAGG